ACAAAGATGATGAAGGGAGTGGAACATCTCCCTTATGAGGAAAGGCTGAAGGAGCTGGGTCTCTAGCTTGCAGGAGACTGAGGAGTAACCTCATTGATGTTTATAAATATGTAGAGGATGAGTGTCAGGAGGATGGAGCCAGACTCTCTTCAGTGACGTCCAATGACAGGACAAGGGGCAGTGGGTACAAGCTGGAACATAGGAGGTTGCACTAAAACATTGGGTAAAACTTTTTCCCTGTGAGGGTGACAGAGCCCTGGCACAGGCTGCCCAGGGAGGGTTTGGACTCTCCTTCTCTGGAGGCATTCAAAACCCGCCTGGACGTGTTCCTGTGTGACCTACTGTAGGGGATGCTGCTCTGGCAGGGGGGTTGCACTAGATGATCTTTTGAGGTCTCTTCCAACCCCGACATTCTGTGATTCTGGGATCTTTAAGGTCCCTTCCAAACCATCCTCTATGATTCTAATTCACATTCTGTTTTGTTGTGCATCTAAATCCATATACACTCTCATCCCAAGAAAGGGAGAAGGATGAGAACTAACACTAACTCTAGAATCAAATTCTCAAATGTATCTATGGCTTTTTCTCACTTGTTTCCATACAAATTAGATGTCTAAATACCTTTGAAATCTTCCGTTGGATTTAATTCAGTTTCATCTGGTGGATTGTGTTTGTGCTCACTCAGAGGCATTTCTGAGCAGAATTCTAGAGTTTGTGAAGAAAAATCTGTGTATGGTTTATCACCTTGCCTCACAGCATGCTTTGTGTCTGCCAGCACGTCTGGCATGTGCATTCTTAACTTACGCTCTATAGGAAAGGATATTTTGATAATTACAGCTCTTACTTGGTTAAATACAGTGGTGCACCTTTAAAATGTAAGCACTGGTAAAATCCAGTACCATGAAAACAAGTGAGGTGTATTAAAATTTAATCCAAGTCAAAAAGCTGAAAATAAAATGCAATTTGCCATAGCTCATAAAAGCTTTAAAAACCTGGAAGTGATTGAGGAATTTGGTGTCTTTGAGTAGTTCCAGAAAAGGCATTGCCTGTGTATCTCCTAGGGCATGCTCTTTCTCCTGGTAATGTCTTTCTGAATGTCACGTCATTGCAGCTGGCTACACCATTCACATTCTGACCAGATGTTTTAGGAATACAATGCTGAAGTTCTCCTGAGCAGGTGTTACTGTGTCCTGCCTGCACACCTGAATTAGGCTGTTACTCATGTTTGCCAGCTGAAGAAGCTGACAGACCTCCCCCAGTGAAAATTCGGTTGATGTATGCTCGATTAGCTTAATTTTGAAATCCTTAGTCGGTCTTCTGAAATGAATTAGTTTGCTGTTATGCACATTTCTTTTGTCTGGTTCCTTTCTTCTGGTTTGTGAGGTGAGGCGATGAAATCCCAGCAGTGAAAACAGTGCCTGGCTCGCTGCTATGCTGTGCGGGATCCCGCCTGTCAGCACTCCCCGGCAGTTTGAGCGGCTGTGGGGGGCAGTGGGGTGCCCCCACCAGTGGCTGTGGCTGTTTTTAACCACCTTCCGTGGGAGTCAGTGATAGCTGAGGGACTAAAACAAGAAGACATACTAACCGTACAAGTAAGCAGGTAGTTGTTTTAAGATAGTAAAATGTTGAGGCCTTCTCCGTCCGCATTCCACAAGCTCAAGCTCTACTCCCCAGAGCCTGGGAGAAGGCTGAAGGTGGTGGGAGGTCCAGCGAGCTAGATTTTCCCCTTTGATTTTCTCCTTAGTCTCAGCTGAGATCGTCATGACAGCTTTTCCACGAGTCCTTTTGTCTGCATCAGTGCCCTGGAGATGTTGGTTTCATATAACTGTAAGCTGTGTCTGCACCCTGAGGTTATTTCTGCAACCCCACTGTCAACTGTGGACATTCATGCCAGTTGTAAAATGAGAATATACACGTACAGAAGTGCTATACGTATTTTAAAATACTTCCAAGTTAAAATTTGAAATCTTAGTTCATCCGTTAATTACTTTGCTAAGAATATGAACTTCACTGGGTTCAGGGAACTAAGATTACATGTGAGCAAATAAAGGAAGACTTGATATCATCTGGCTTGCAAGAGATCTGACAAGCATAAATTTTCTGTTGCATGTTCTTTATAAACAGAAGAATGTGTCCACTGATTATTTAATTCTCCTTTTTTGTAGACTTCCTTTGTTGTTGATGAAGTCAGTAGCATCATCAAAGAGGTAAACTAACATTTTCATTTTGTTGATGTGAAAGTGTAGTATGTTGAATGCTGCATGTTGAAAGGCATTCTAAGAAAATCTTACAAAACTGAGATGTAATAGATTTCTAAATAGGTTGCTATCCAAGTAGAGATAATTGTTCATTTAACCAATGTACGTACTTCAAGTGGAAATGATACCTAGCTTTAGTTGTGATACGTATTGCAAATCCAAAAGATAATTAAAATAATTTCATATGCTTCTTTCAGGCTGAAGTGTATCTCTTAGAATTTCCAGGGGGATGTTTTATGTTAAATCCTGTAGAGATTTCGTGTTTCAGTAACATATAGAGGTGTTTTACAGGCCATCTGCCTGTGCATGTTGATGTGTTCTTTTGAGATGCTTTTCCTCCAGAAGGAGTTTGTTTGTTTGAAATGATTGAACTAGTCCTGTTGCTAAGAAACATGAATTTCCTGTCCAGAAAATTGCCAGATTTGTTTTTTTGTGTCCAGAATTATTCTTGTACAGTAAAGTAGTGCAATCTTTTTCTTGTTGCAAAACCATGGTTTTGTTCAGACTCTGTAAATTGAATACACGTGCTTTAATACATATTCCTGTCTCTTCTGAATCTGAAATAATTTTGTGGGTTGTTGTTTTTTTTTAAAAACAATTCTGCAAGGAAAAAATGGATCAATAAAAAACATGCAGTAGTAATGTACTTTTGTTTGTATCTTAAAGGGGAAACTAACCTCACAAGTAAAATGAATTATTTGACTGAAGGCTTCTGCTCTATTAGTTACCGGCAACTACAGGGGTCTTCTGCTTTGGTTTGAGGTTTTGCTTTCCAGAAGTGATTCTGCTGAAAAATCTGAAGTTCATTTCCAGAGAAGAATATATGTGAATGAGCCATTGTTGTAGGCATTTTTTCAGTCTCTTTGGGACTGTTTAAATGCAAGGCCCTTTTCATAACTCTGGCTTCGGGACACTGGGATAGGAATTACAAATAATGAAAATATCACAAAATGAAGAGAGGATAGAATCCATGGTAATATCCCCCATGCCAGGCTCCAGCTCTGACCTGCAAGTTTTTTGATAATGAAAACACTTCCAACAATCGGTATGGATAAGTAGTATTTAGGAATTTTTCTGTCAGTATAGAGTCTCCCCTTTAATGTGCCATGTTGGAATGGGTTCATGGGTGCCTTGTAGGTTGACAACAGTGCAGTTTATTTTATGTATTTGTTGCCAATAGGCCATAGAAAGTGCGATAGGTGGCAATGCCTACCAGCACAGCAAAGTGAACCAGTGGACAACAAGTGTGGTGGAACAGACACTGAGTCAACTCACAAAGTTGGGGAAGCCTTTCAAGTACATTGGTAAGCTTGACTTTCTCTTTTCTGGTAAAGCTGGTACGCTCAAGGGCACTGATGGGTGTAGAGGAGAGGTCTTAGTAAGAACCATGTTTGTAAACTACTCATAAGCATGTCTGTATACATATGTGCATTGGTATACACTACGCTAAGCAAAAATATATCTGCATGTTAATTAACGTTAGTGATAAATTAATAAAAGTTTTTCTTACTAACAGTGACCTGTGTGATTATGCAAAAGAATGGTGCTGGGCTGCATACAGCAAGCTCTTGCTTCTGGGACAACTCCAGTGATGGTAAGGAACACAACTTTTGGACTTTCCAGCTTGCAGCTTCAGTGCTAGTCCCCTTAAGACTAGGCAGCACACCTTTTTTCCTAGTGGTATCATTTTGGAGTAATAGCATACAGTTTGGTATTTTTTCCATTTGGCTGTGATGAAATTGCTATAGAAGAAATGCTTAGCTGTTAGTGAAAGCTTCATGCTTAAGATTCTTAATGTAAACAATCACAAATGTGCATACAAGGGCATGCATTTACTCACTGTAACTTTCTTCTGTCTCTGAAACCCTTTTTTTGTATTTGTAGGAACCTGCACTGTGAGATGGGAGAATAAGACTATGTACTGTATTGTCAGTGCCTTTGGACTTGCAATATAATTGCCTTGAAATCCTTACCTTTTCTACTCCAGCACTTGATTCCATCTCTGCTCAAACTGTGAAGACACTGAACAACTTCTGTTTTTAATGTACTTTTTAAGTAACTTTTTTCCAAATGTAGAAATGTGAAAACATGTTGTTACATGGTTTATGTTTGTACTTAGTATTGTACTCATGTTGCCAGACTGTCTTAACACTTCAAGAATTTCTCTTCAAGGTGCTAATACTGAAATCTGCTGCAGCGTAAACACTTCCTCTACATTTCTTGTTTTTAAGACCAATACAAACAAGACACCAACTTTCACACTTTGTACTCTTCGTAGCATTAAATTATTGAAATTCATAACCATTGGTGTGACTCATTTAAACTTAATTCTTTTGTTATTTAAAAAAAAGTTCAAGCTCTTTTAATCCTTTTCAGGGTAGCTGAGATAGAGGCCAGAATACCAAACACTTCCAAATTTTGTCAAAGTCATTACAAAATTACAGGAAAACAAAATGGTATTTATCAGCAAGTAACTTGGCTGCATTTTTGGGACTTGTTTAATCTGATTGCATGGCATGTAGGGCATGGAACGATAACAGAAATAACTATTGTCATTGAACAAAGATAAGAGGTTTTGCACATTCTAGAAGTGCTCAGCAAGCTGCACATGGGTAATCATTCACTCCTGCAGCCAACTCCATGTGTCAAGTAGGTCTTGAACTTAGCTGCTACCTCCTGCATTGATTTTGCTGATAAATAGTGTGATGAGTTCTGAGAGTTGGTGAAACACGATCCTTTCTAAAAAGGGGGAAAACTGCCTCAGGGTGACATGACTGAGTAACACGTGACTAACTCCTGCCTTCTCCAGTGAAGTTGCAGAAGAATAACAAGTAAATCAAGTTTTTAGCTTAAGGTTGAACAAGATCTTCTTTGTCAACTAATTAAAGAAATGAGAGCATGCTATGAATTTCAGTCTACAGCAGCTGTGCTGATTCTGTAAATAGTAGCTCCCTGCTGGTGAAGTTGAAAGTGTAACTTAAAAAGCAAGTATGAGAGAGTAGGCCTGGGCTAGAATCAGTCTGAGTGACCTGTATTTACTTATATCTAGGAAGCCCTGACATGTTTTCAGCACCTGGCACTCAGTTAAAGCTTCTTTAGAGATGGCTGCTGATACAATGATATGTTCCCATGATCTGTAAAGATGTAATACTGAAAAAAATCAAATGGCAGTAGAGGATTTGTTTTTCATAGTGCTGGGTGCACGCTATGTGCACTCTGTGGTAACTCATCACATCCAAACAGAATGCAGAAAACCCTGTGCTAGGTAAGGCTTCAACCCTCTTCCTTCCTATCCATTTCTGCTGTCAGTAGGGCAAAAAAAAAAGTGGTCTTGATCGACAGGTTTGGGCTTGTTACATTTGAGGCTTTTACTATAGCTACAAGGCTTATGTATTTCTACTAGCATACCTGTTTCACAACATCTCTGTAAACACATCTCCTTCACGGCAAGCCACTTTATTCTAGCAAATGTCCTCGTGAGCGCTGAAGGGCTGTACTGAGTGTATATATACACTTCACATATCTGTAGCAGAGTTTTAGCAGGGGTTTGACTAGAATGTCACATGAGTATTCAGTGTCAGAAATGGTACATCACTTGTAAAAAAGAAATTAAAACAAGACAGATTGAATAAAATGCCTGTAATAGTCATCAGTGTGAGAGAGAAACTTCTCTTAAAGGGAATAAAATCTTTGATCTCTGAATTGCTAAGGAAATTTTTAATCTGGATGGTCAGATACTTTATTTCCTTTGCATCAGCCTGCCAGATCGATGCTTACATTTGAAATAGTTTCATGCACTTTGAGTCAGTGTTTACTTCTAGAAAGATTTAGCTTCTTGCTCAAGCCATTTAAACATTCCTTATCCAGTGCTCATGTTAATAACAACAAATCCCTTCTTTTTTTTTTTTTTTTTTTTGCTGTTTATTAGTTCATGCATGTGCTGGACTGCAGAAAAAAAATGTAGCTGAATGAGAGGAAGAAACCCTGTTGCATTAAAGCAGGAGTTGTGCTACAGAAAGGTGTAGTTCTATAGATGATTTTACATGTTAGCAATAACCATTGCTTCCAGTGTAACAGTTTTGGGACTAAAGGGGTTTAGGGGTTGTGGTTTTTTGGGTGTTCATTGCTCATGCCCCAAACTGACAGGGCTTTTCTGTAAAGTGCTATAGCCATTGCATCTTACAGTCTCAATCTTGTACAGTTACTTCTAAATTTTAATTATCTTCAGACACCTTTTTTCAAAGACTGCTGGCCAGCTCATCTCAGTGCCAAAGTACAGTATGAGGGTGACGAGCCTGTGGAGTCTCCCAGAGTATTCAGGAAAGAAATTATAAAAGTCAGTCTCCGTTTTCTGTCTCTAGCTTACTGCCATGGCTCATCTTATGACTGCAGCCATCAAAATGAGGGGCATGTCAGTCCTGAGCTGAAGGGGAAGAGGAGGAAGGGGAAATGGAGGGGAGGAGGGGGCCATTGTTTAGTGTAACTGCTACAAATTAGTGTGACCCATCTTCCAACATTAACCATTTCAATTAAAACCTAAAGAAAAATGGCTTCAGAATTAACCGCTGCTGGTAAATGAGTGCTACCATCTCCGATCCTAAAGCAGCCGTAAGTGCGTATCCATTTGTGCGGAGATGTTTACAGCCCTTTTATTCAGCACACAATGAGATCTCAGTCTCTCCTCAAATTTACATAAAGAGTGGCATCACCCCAAAGAGAGGGTGACAGGCTGTTCACTTTTGCAGTCTTACCAGCCATGACCAGAGTCCTGGAAGGTACAGCGCTGTAAGAAGGAGACAAATGATGTCAGCACCTTCACCATCTCTAAACCTCTTTCTCTTACCGACCTGTGGGCTGGAGGTGAGGCAGCCCCTCCTGGGTGTGCAGAGTAGATGCTCATTGCAGGGTAAGTAGAACGACCACGGCTAAGGGAAAGCCCGCACGTGTGGCAGCGAGATCCCTGGTGCCAACAGTCACCCGGGGAAATTTTGAGTGCCAGCAGGACCACAGCAAAGCCACGTGAGAATGCCAGTTCCCCTCTACAAACTGGCAGGCATGTTTCTTAGGAAAATGAGCAACCTGTCATTCCACCTTCAAGTCTCGGCAGGGTAATAAAAAAACCACCAAAACACAACAAAAACCAACTCAAACCATAATTCCCTGGTTAATGTGCTGACACTGCCTCCTGGATGACATTCTTACACAATTAACCAAATTTAAAAATGCGGAAGACATGTAAACTGAAAATAAATTACAAAATGGTACAGTTAGTCATTCACTAGAAAGAAAATAAAACCAAGATACAATGTAAAGATATAAAACTTTATTATGAACATATTTAACAATGATTACGCACATGAAGTCTTCCAAGAAACTCAATATTTGACTTTGCTTGAAGTAGAATACTAGTTTTTCCTTCATATTCCATATTAGCATGAAGTTTTCCAACATAAATGGATAATTTGCTGTCATCAACACAGTATCTAGATATATAGAATATTTAATACATGTCCTCATGCACACTTTCTCAAAGCAGCATTTAATTACAGCTTCTCATTAAACAGAGCATTTATCTTACACATTTTTATACCATTTTGGTACACATTTCTTTCCATATTTTACATATTTACAAACTTCTAAAAAAGTTTTACAGTAATGCAAAGGTTATTACTGGCATAAGCAAAAGGAAATAGGGGAAAAATTAGGTGATTATGGATATGAAGTTGTCTTCTGGCTCAGAGCCATCCTCTCATGTTCCCCAGTATTAGTGCCATGGGTCTGTTGCTCTGGCTGTTCCCTACTGTGCTAAGCCTTATGTTTCCTCCTCTTTGCCAGTCCTAGGAAAGTTTCCAACCAATTCCAACACCAACTGTATTTTTAAAGCAAATACTACAGAAAATGGTTGCCAGGAATGGCTCACACTCACTGATTACTGATTTCTTAAAAGTCCCTCTTCATCACTGACTACATGGAAGTCTTGCAGTCATTTATACAGGAACACTGTTATGCTGTGGGGTCTTTTTGTAGACTTTTCTCATTTTATAGTTCCACTAGTGATGGAAATACTTAATTACTTTAGCAATAATGAAAAGAAAGCCAGGCTAATGTATTTTCCAAATATCTTGTTTCAGCCTTAGGTTACAGTACTTTACTCAGGGCTGAATTTATACCATCTACTCCCAAGCTGTTTACAATCCATATTGTAATATTCCTCATATACTGTCTCTGCTTTCCGATTATGGAAATAAGAGGAGAGAAACTGGGATATCCTGCTAGCAAAACTAGTTTCTCATCTACTTCACTGATTTTGCCTCTTTACTGTATGTTGAATTTGATGGAACAGTGCTTCAACCAAGCTTACCATTACACTCTAACACGTCCAAAGTACAAAGCTATTTTCATGGCAAACACTGTTCAAATATAATCTCTAAAAATTATCAAGGAAACTATTTTCTCACTATTTTTGCAGTCAGATACTTACATTAAGTACACATTTCCCACGCTCAGCTTTCTTATTTTGACTTTGAATGTAGTGATGTAGAAAAGTTAATGCAAACAAAATGGCAAGTGAAGTGGGCTGAGAACAACTTAGAAAAAAATCATCATCTCCAAGTTAGATTAGAAATATTGTCTTTAGGTAATGGAATCCCAAAGCATGACACTGCCTTTCAGGGTTAGCTGTAACAACCAGTTCAGACTGCAATAAGAAACATCAGTATATTTTGCACGTTGGTCAAATCAAACATTTTATCTCTTCAGAACAATTTAGAACAGAATTAAACAATACCAGAGCCAAAAAGATCTGAATATATATGGATCATGTAAACATGAATTTTTGAAAACCTAATTCCTGTACCCACCACTGTTACTCCAGTGGAAGTCAAAAGGATTTAGGGTATGCAAGGAATGCCTCATTGTCTCCCACGTTTGATTCTGCAAATTGAAACAGCTCTAAGCCTTAAGAGAGTTATCTGGGGAACAGTAAAAGAGAATGGGCTCTCCATTTTAGGATGAAGATCTTTTCCCACACTTGCTAAAAAAAGAGTCAAAAAGAATGTGCTGAAGGTACAGCTTACTACAGTCCACTGAAAACAAACAAACAAACAAACAAACCACTAACCCAAAAGCCCCACAACACTAACTTGAAATACTTCTTTAATGTTTTCTAGTATATTCTTCTAAATTGGCACTAATTAATTATGAAATTAAAGGGAAAAACTTTCCCCATCTCCCAGCACTTTCCTTGCTTTAGCCATACGATAGCGCTTTGCCTTCTGACAAATAAATGATCCCTGGTACAG